TGTTGTAAAAGTCAACTGAAATGCCGGTGAACAAGGGCTAGTAACCCTTTTTCCTGTAAAGATTACTAAAAAGAATAAGAAGAAGAAAATTGTCAAAGTGGAAGTCTGAATGTGCTGGGATGTTGTGCAAATGATAAAATAAGAGATGATTGTGGATGTTATGGAATGAGAAGAAAGAAACTGGATGTCATGCTTTAAGTTGAAACAAAGCTGAAGGGAGGTGTGGGACGAGTTTCAATGGAGAGCGAATAAATGGGATTAGTTCAGGGGTTTTCAAATAAGTGTTAGAGCTAAAGAAGGAAAGGCAATAATGTTGAAGGAATAAGGCTATGGCAGAAAAGAGGACTACAAATGCATTAAAATTCTAGGATTATGTGGAGTAAAATAAAGATTGGATGTGAAAAGTGGGTGATAGTTCAGCGTGTTATGACCTGGGAAGAGAGAAGTGTGACGACGAGAGAGAGATTCTGGGGAAATGTTGAGTGAATGCGTGGGGAGTTTTGAATCAGTGTGAGAGTAATGGGGTTGGGGATTTCAATGCTAAAGTGGGTAAAAAATGTGTATGGAGGGAGTAGTAAGGTAAATTTGGGCGGTTCCAGGGGTAAATGTAAATGGGGAGCCTTTAATTGAGCTATGTGTAGAAAGAAATTTGGTATTAAGTAATACATATGTTATGAAAAAGAGGATAAATAAATATAACATGGTATGATGTAGCACGTAATGAAGTAGTTTGTTAGATTATGTATTGGTGGATGAAAGGTTGATGGGTAGGCTCCAGGATGTACATGTTTATAGAGGGGCAATGATATATTCAGATCATTATTTAGTTGTAGCTACAGTTAGGAGTAAGGAGGTAGATGGGAAAAAGAGGGAAGGTGCAACAACAAGTAGAGGAGGTGTGAAAGTGTATAAATAAGGGAGGGAGGGAAGTTCGGGCGAGATATAATGCGACTATTGGCAGAAAGAGTGGGTAGTGCAAAGATGAGTAGTGGGGGGGGTTGAGAGGGTTGGAATAGTTTTAAAAGTGCAGTATTAGACTGTGGGGCAGAAGTTCTGTGGTTCATAGGAGGTTCGGGGACAGGAGGAAAGAGGAGTGATTGGTGGAATGATGATAGTAAAGGGTGTGATTAATAGAGAAAAAAAAGGTAGTTACGAGAGGTTTTTACATAAGCAGAATGTGTTATAAGAAGTGCAGAGTATATGGAGGTAAAAGAAGGCTGAAGAGAGTGGTGAGAGAGTGCTAAAGGGAGGAGAGTTGAAAGAGTGGGGAGGCATGTCAAGAAATTTTAATGAAAATAGAAAAAATTTTGGACGGGGACAGTGAGTATCAAAACAAGTTAAGAAAGCGTAGGGAAGTATTGATTTGTCCGTAAAAACAGAGTAGGGAGTTAGTAGTGGGAGAGAGGGAGGTATTAGGAGATGGCGAGACATAGTTTTGAGGAACTTTTAAATGTTGCCAGGAGAAAGGGACGGCGGTATAATTTCATGCACTGGCCAGGGAGGGTACCTTCTTTTAGGAGTGAAAGTAGAGCAGCATTGTAAGTCTGTCGGTGGAGGTACGTGAGGCATTACGTTAGGAATGAAAGGGGGTGGTAAAGCAGCTGGAACTATGGATCATGACAGAAATGTTAAAAGCAGGGGGGGGATATAGTGATGGAGTTGTTGGACTTTTGTTTAATAAATGTATGGAAAGACGGGGAAGGTACCTAAGGGTTGGGCGGGAGAGCATGTATAGTCCCTTTATATAAGGGGAAGGGGACTAAAGAGGATTGTAAAAATTAAGACGGAATAAGTTTACTGAGATTTACCAGGGAAAAGTTTACAGATAGGGTTATAATGAAAGAATTAGAGGTAAGACAGGAATGTAGAATTGCGGCCATGGAAGCAAGGAGGCTTCAGAGTGGCTAGGGGGATGGGCTAGATCAAGTGTTTACATTGAAGCATTTTGTGAAACAGTATTTAGATAAAGGTGGGAAGTTTTTATTGCTTTATGGATTTAGAAAAGGCATATGATGAGTGGATAGAGGAGCAATGTGGCAGGATGTTTGCAAGTTTATGGAATAGGTGGTAAGTTACTAATGCTGTAAAGAGCTTTTATGAGGATAAGTGAGGCTCAGGTTAGCTGGTGTGTAGACGAGGACGGCGGAATACTTCCCGGTAAAAGTAGGTCTTAGACAGGGATGTGTATGTCACCATGGTTGTTTAATTATTTATAGATGGAGTTGTAAAAAAGAAGTAAATGCTAGGGTGTCTGGAGAGGGATAGGATTTAAATTATGGGGAATCAAATTCAAAATGGGAATGCACAGTATACTTTTTGCTGATGTACTGTGCTTATGGGAGATTCTAAAGAAAACTTGCAAAGGGTTAGTGGATGAGTTTTGAGATGTGTGTAAAGGTTAGCAAAGTTGTGAAAGTGAACATAGAAAAGAGTAAGGTGATGAGGGTATCAAATGATTTAGATAAAAGAAAAAATTGGTATCAAATTGGGGAGGAGGAGTATGGAGAAGTGAATGTTTTCATATACCTTGGAATGTTGACGTGTCGGCGGTTGGATTTAGAAGGATGGAGGTTAATCATAGTATTGATGAGGGGAAAACCAAAAAAAGGTGAGTGGTGCGCTTGAGGTTATGTTGGAGTCAAAAAACGTTATCTATGGAGGCAAAGAAGGGAATGTATGAAAGTATAGTTAGTACCAACACTCTTATATGGATGCTGAAGCTTGGTGGTTAAAATGCAGCAGCGAGGGAGACGCGTGGAGGCAGTGGAGATGTCCTGTCTAAGGGCCAATGTGTGGTGTAAAATATTATGCAGAAAATTCGGAGTTGTGGAAATTCCCCTCGCCGAGAAGGTGTGGAGTTAATAAAAGCATTAGTCAGAAGTGTAGAAGAGGGGTTTGTTGACGGTGTTTGGTCATTTAGAAGAGAATGGATCAAAGTAGAATGGACAAGGAAAGCATATAAATCTATAGGGGAAGGAAAAGAGGGGTAAGGGGGTCGTCCTCGGAAGGGTGGAAAAAGGGGGGTAAAGGTGGTTTTGTGGGCGAGGGCTTGGACTTCCAGCCAAGTGTGCATGAGCGTGTTAGATAGGAGTGAATGGAGACGAATGATACTTGGGGACCCTGACGATCTGTGGGAGTGTGAGCTAGGGTACTATATTTAGTTATCCCCCAAGGGATTCAGGGGGAAGAAAAGGTTATTTATATAGTCGGCTTGAGTCCTGGACCAATGGAAGTAACATGCCTGCACTTTAAAGGATGTGGTTTGGGATATTGGCAGTTTCTGAGGGATATGTTGTGTATCTTTATTCGATATGCTTTCTAAACTGTTGTATTCTGGGCACCTCTGCAAAAAGCAGTGACTAATGTATGAGTGTAGTGAAAGTGTTCGAATGATGATAAAAAGTATTTTCTTTTTGGGATTTTCTTTCTTTGTTTGGGGTCACCCTGCCTCGGTGGGAGACGGACCGACTTGTTGAAAAAAAAAAAAATAAATAAAATATATATATTTATATATATATAATATATATATATTATATATATATATATTATATTATATATATATATATATATATAAATTATTATATATATATGTATATATTATATATATATATTATATATATATATATATATATATATATATATTTTACAGGAAAAAAATCTGTTGTATGTTGCTTTCAGTGTACTTATAAGCAATTTTTTTTTTTTTTTTTTTTTTTTTTTTTGAAACAAGATAAAAAGTTATTAAAAATAGAAGTTTGATGCGGTGCGATACTGTTTTTTGACGAGCCACCACTGCAATCAGCAAACTAATTCTAGACCTTAAAAACTCCTTAATGCTAGCTATTGCTTTGACATATTCCCCTTTTTGCCTCCATGGACAAAGTTGCCTCCATGGACAAAGTTGCCTCCATATGCATCAGTGTACTACCCACCTTTTTACCCCTTTTACATGGTTCAACTCATCTTTCATAGTACCATGCACTGACAAATCCACTCCCAAATATCTAAAGACATTTATCTCCTCCATACTCCCTCCCTCCAATCGTGAATCCAATCTTTCAATGCCTAAATTTTTTGCTATTCTCATCACTTTTCTCTGTTCTATGTTCACTTTTAATTTTTCTATTTTTACATACCCTCTCAAATTCCTCCATCAACCTTTGCAATTTCCCTTCAGAATCTTTTGAAATCAACTGTGTCATTGGCAAAGAGCAACTGTGACAACTTCCACTCTTATCAAATTCATTATCTTCATTCTCATACCTCTCCCCAAGACCCCAGCCCTAAATCTGTTAAACAACCTCAGTGACATCACACATCATTGTCTATGGCTTGCTGGAAAATAATTTCCCCTTCTCTCCTACATACCCTAACCTGGTCTCACCATCTACATAAAAACTTCTTACTGCTTTTGGTAACCTACCACCCATTCCATGTATTTTCAGCATCTCCACATTGCTCCCCTGTTCATCCCCTGTATCATCCCCTGTATCATCCTATGATAAAATCCTTAGTGTTAAGTAGTCTGTAAGCCAATAATGTTAAGTTGGCCCATAATGCCTAGGCATAATAGAGGCTCTTATTGCAGTGCAACCCACTATTGTAAATACAAAATCTCAATGCACTGTTTGCAAAGACATAAAATAAATAAATAAATAAATAAAAAATCAGTGGTTTTTCTAAATACAGTACCAGTGGCGGCTCGTAACGCCAGTAATACCTATACTATCGTATAGCATCAGATTTCTATTTTTAATCATTTTTCATCTTGTTTCAACAAAAATATAAAAAATTTGCTTATAAATACATTGAAAACAACATACAACAGATTTTTCTTGTAATATATTTGTCAGTTGCAAATTATTTTAGCGTAAGGTTGATGAAGTCATACGTCTGGCAGTGAGCATCTGGGGGGACTGCAGCTCTGCAGCTCCTGTAGATGAGCCACCACTGTACAGTACACATAAATGCTACAGAAAGTTCCTTACCTTTTTTCTAAGTATTGGCCACTTACATGCTTTAATGTAAACACTTCATGTATGTATTATTTTCCTTGCAGGAACCTACCACGGGCTATCATTATTGGGCTTCCTCTGGTAACCATCTGTTACCTGCTTGTCAACATCTCCTACCTAGCTGTCATGAGCCAGGATGAGCTCCTTGCCTCGGAAACTGTGGCCGTGGTATGTATTGTGCTGTGCCTGGACACTCCTTCATTTACCTTAAGATCTCTATCTTCTTTTAACTTTATTCAAAATTATCCATGCACTTTTTTTTTTCTATATGACATGGTAAGGTTTTTTTCAACTTTTTCAAGTCTCAGGTGATGCTGCAGAAAGTGGAGGATGGGAAGAGAACTTTGTTATACTGTACAATTCAAACCTCATGTGTCTTTACAGAAGTAGAGATAACTGGACTGTGGTTATCCCTCAGTAGATACCCTGAATATTAGATAAGAGAAGATAACTTATTTCCCAAGAAGATACAAAAAGAGTTATATACAGTGGACCCCCACCTTATGATATTAATCCGTTCCTCAGAGCTCATCGTAAACCGAAATTATAGTTAGCCGAATTAATTTTCCCCATAAGAAATAATGGAAATCAAATTAATCAGTTCCTGACATCCCAAAGTATGAAGAAAAATTTTTTTTACCACATGAAATATTAATTTTAATACACACAAACTGAAGAAGACATGCACAATTACTACTCTACTAAGAATAGAATACATGACACTTACCTTTATTGAAGATCTGGTGATGATTGATGGGATGGGGGGAGGGGAGAGTGTGGAAGTTATTGTTTAGAAGGAGAATCCCCTTCCATTAGGACTTGAGGTAGCAAATCCTTTTCCGGGGTTACTTCTCTTCTTCTTTTAATGCCACTAGGACCAGCTTGAGAGTCACTGGACCTCTGTCGCACAACAAATCTGTCCATAGAGCTCTGTACCTCCCGTTCCTTTAAGACTTTCCTAAAATGGGCCATAATATTGTCATTGTACAGGTTGCCAACATGGCTTGCAGTAGCTGTGTCAGTGATTTTCATCCATAAAGGTTTGCAGTTCAACCCACTATGCACACATTTCCTTAATCTCTTTTTTCATTTCCATACTAATTCTCACCCTTTTTACCACAGGGATGACACTAGAAGCTTTCTTGGGGTCCATGGAGACTTATTTTGCAGTTACAAGCACTAAAAACACTGGGATAATGTGAAATGTACCGAATGTATGCGCAGATGCGACTGCACTGGCTGGCTTGTGAACACTGGCACTGAGGCCACATGTGGGACGCGTCCCGGACGAGTCATGTAAGGCGAGTTTTTTATTGTGAGGCGAGACAAAATTTTTGCGTTCAAGTGCTTTGTATGGTGGATTTAACGTAACGCGGTGTGTTCGTAAGGTGGGGGTCCACTGTATTCTTATATACGTATATTTCTTAGAAGGAAAAACCCATAGTTATGCATAGCTTTTGGGCGGTCTGAAACTAGTATTAATACATACAGTGGTACCTCAAGTTTCGAACAGCTCCCAACTCGAACAGTTATATAAGTGTATTTTTGTAAGTGCTTTTGCAAGTGTATTTCTGGCAGTCTGAAATGGACTAGTCTAATTTACATTATTCCTTATGGGAACCCCTCAAGGAAGGTTCCTTGATGTTGGTGAGGGGCTCTTGATTTAGGAAATTGGATCTGTGCTCCAGTTCCCCGAATTAAGCCTGAATGCCTTCCACATCCCCCCCCCCCAGGTGCTGTATAATCCTTCGGGTTTAGCGCTTCCCCTTGATTATAATAATAATAATCCTTATGGGAACAAATTCATTCGGTATTGGCACTTGAACAGCCTTCTGGAACGAATTAAGTTCGTAACTCAAGGTACCACTGTACTAACAATATAAAAATTCAAATTAGTATATTGGACAATATGTATTGAAATGTAGTACACACTAAAATAAAAAAATACATAATGTCATAATGCAAGTTTTAGTGCAAATTTAGTGTATTAAGAAATAGTTAGAATATAATTTTAAATTGAAACTTAAAAGCAAATAAGGAAGTACAGTAATTAATAATGGTTGAAGAAATTATTAAATTTAAAAAAAAAAAAAATAAAAAAATATGGTGTAATTTATTAGCTTAATATATAAGTTTAATATTAATTTAAGGAACTGCATTGAAAGAAATTTGAGGAAACTACATTAAGCACACATTATTTGTGTTATGAGTGCGTAATTATGGGTCAGATGATAATAATAAAAATAGTAATTTTTTATGTCTACAAGTACATGATACAACTTTTATAGACCTACCTGACATCAGTGACATACTATATAGAAAGCGCCAGGTTATGCAGAGCATTTCGGGCAACTTAGGTTAATTTTGTCCTCAGGATGTGACCCACACCAGTCGGCTAACACCTAGGTACCTACTTCCTACTAGGTGGACTGGGACAGCAGGTGTCTTAAGGAAACATGCCCCAGTGTTTCCACCCATACCGGGGATCGATCCACGGACCTCAATGTGTGAGCTGAGTGCACTACAATACAGTTTTCATTTCTGCAGTACAATTATTGTAGTTTACATATAATAAACATTGGTTGGCACAAGAGATGCTTGCAGGAAGAGAAATTAAGCTTATTTATAAAGTCAATAGTTGAGAGGGAAGGTGCATTTGTTTGAAATGGCCTTTTTTTTTCTAGTTGTTGATTTTTAATCCTAGGATTTGGGAGAGGAATTCCTAATTGTTTTTACTATCTCTTTTGGAGTTGTTAAATCTATAAGAATAGTAATTTTGCTTGGATATGTTCATAATTACTATTCTAATGAGAGTTTTACAGTAAGGCTTTCTACTATCTTTCTCATGTGTATATCTGTCTTCCCTTTTTTCTCTGTCCTTCCCCTCTTTCTCTGTTCCCTTCTTAATTATCACTTAAGCTGCTTACCCTTGATTTTACAGTACTTGCTTAGAGCTAGTATCATACCACAGCTCATTTCAAACCCTGTCACCAGGACTCGAGAAATCATAATGACACGATTGCAGACAAACCACTGTACAGGCGGGGATTGAACTCGCAGTGAGTCATAAAACTGTAGACCGACATGTTAGCCACTGGGCCAGCTGGCTACAGTATACCTAGTTGGATGAATCTGATTGTAGACAGCTGGCCTAGTGGCTAATGCATTGGTCTGGAGTTTTACGACTCTCTCATTGTGAGTTCAATCATCACCCATACCGTGGCCTGTCACCAGCAATTGCCTCTATAATTATTTTGTAATCGTGCTGTTTCATAATAGGAATAGGGTGAAGTTGAAGCCAACTGTGAGCCAAAGTTTTCATTTACTCGGAAAGCTTAAATCCACAATAATACATTTGATATAAGAATGTTTCCAATGAATCAGTCTTGGAGTAAATGATCACTCAGAGTGAGTGATTTCCTTAAAAAAAAAATAAAGCCCAAAGGAAGCTACTGATGGTTACCCATTTTAAGGTACAAACTAATTAGTTAACAGGACTGTACCTTGGATTATATAACGAGTCAATGGGAAAAACAGGTATCACTTTATTGGCATGTAACCAAAGCAGATTCTCAGGGAAGCAAGGTTACAACAAAAACAGACTATCAGTCGGTTAATAATACATTACTGTCTAGGTCTATAGGTCTCATTTGTAAAAATAAATAGCTTAATAAAGTACCATTTTTAAATGATGTTATATTATGACATGCAACATTTCCAAATTATTTTTAAACACCAGCTGTCTCTCACTGAGATAGGGTGACCAGAAATAGGAAACACATTCACCATCACTCAATAGCCATATTGCCAGAAGTATACAAACATGACATTTCAAACACCCCTCTAGACTGTAGCATCACCTATCCTCCAGCATGCATGCACTGTACTTCCCACCTCTGGTTACTAAAGTTTGGCTGACTGACTTTCCTAAATATTTACCTTCATTAATGTTACTTTGCTTATATTCCAACAGCACATCAAGCCATAAAACTACTTGGTCTCTATGTTTTGGACTCTTAGCTTCAAAATTTTAGGAAAGGAGCAGCTACATCCCTTGTTATCCCAGAGGCTACAGCTTTGCTTAATTTTCAGATTCTTAAAGGGTTGCAGTCTTTAATTCACTTTTTAGAAGTGCAGTAAAATAATAAAGACTGGATGTTCTTAGATATGAGATGATGTGCTAGTATAATGTGTGCATTTATTAATGCTGAGAAATGCTAGTAGACTGTAACAACCAAATTTGTTTGAGCCTTCAAGGAAACCAATACATACATATATCCAACCCCCATTTCATGGAAAAGGCTTTTCAGTTCATCGTGTCCTCAAGGGAAGTTCCTTGATACTGGTAAAAGGGCTTTTGATGCAAGGAATTGGATCTTTCCTTCCCTTCCTTGAATCAAACAGGATTTGCCTCCCAATTCCCCCAAGGTACTGAATATTCAACTTACGCTGTACAGATTTAGCACTTCCCTCAGACTTTTTATTTTATTTTATTATCACACTGGCCGATTCCCACCAAGGCAGGGTGGCCCAAAAAAGAAAAACTTTCACCATCATTCACTCCATCACTGTCTTGCCAGAAGGGTGCTTTACACTACAGTTTTTAAACTGCAACATTAACACCCCTCCTTCAGAGTGCAGGCACTGTACTTCCCATCTCCAGGACTCAAGTCCGGCCTGCAAACCTGGTTTCCCTGAACCCCTTCATATATGTTACTTTGCTCACACTCCAACAGCACGTCAAGTATTAAAAACCATTTGTCTCCATTCACTCCTATCAAACACGCTCACGCATGCCTGCTGGAAGTCCAAGCCCCTCTCACACAAAACCTCCTTTACCCCCTCCCTCCAACCTTTCCTAGGCCGACCCCTACCCCGCCTTCCTTCCACTACAGACTGATACACTCTTGAAGTCACTCCATTTCGCTCCATTCTCTCTACATGTCCGAACCACCTCAACAATCCTTCCTCGGCCCTCTGGACAACAGTTTTGGTAATCCCGCACCTCCTCCTAACTTCCAAACTACGAATTCTCTGCATATATTCACCCACACATTGCCCTCAGACATGACATCTCCACTGCCTCCAGCCTTCTCCTCGCTGCAACATTCATCACCCATGCTTCACACCCATAAAGAGCGTTGGTTAAAACTATACTCTCATACATT